CCTCTTCTCCCTCTAGCTATGGGTTAATTAGTAAGACTTGTATCACTAACCTATTATTATCTATAAAAATTTCTTACGGTCTAAAAATATTTCCTGGCTTTAGATAACATGCAAAGAGTTGATAAGCAGTAGTAAATCAATCAATCGTATTCCATTGTTAAGGCGGAAGTTCTAATAGGACAGCTTCTTCCTCAGAACTCTTTGTGGAACAGACTCCCAAGAGGATGCTTTCTCTATCATTACGATTTCATCCTCTTCAAGTCTAGTCTCAACTGTTATATATCCTATATATTCTCATAATACGCACTTCTTGCTCCTTCCCTTTACGACATTAGAAGAACCCTATTCAGCAACCCTCTACATTGAGTGTTTCTTGAGCCTAGTATTAGGTGAGCACTAGTATAAAATAAAAGATACCATAGACTTCCTTTAGTTGAATTTAGTTCCATAATACTTTATTGTTGTGCATTGCGGTTCTTATGACTTTGCTACTAGTTTGCTTATTAATAAGATTCTTTTCTACTGTTGCTAAGCAGATACCAGTTCCTTTGTAAATGCGCTTGGCGGATTTCTTACTTTATGTTCAACCGAACTGCTAACTTGATTTGTACAAAATGTTTTCTCTTCTATCTAAAGTGCTTTTCTTTATAGTTTCTTTATCTTACCGTTCTTTTCAATACTGCATTCATTTATAATGTTTTTTTACTGTTCTTCTTGCCTGATCTACTGGTATTTTCATCTCGATGAGCTGCTGTAGTTTATAAAATGTTTTCTTCTTTGTCTTGTAAATTAGATCTGCATTATAATATATATATTTTTTTGCCATCCTATTTGCATATTATGTCCAAATATTTTCCCCGCAATATTAAAGCTGGATATTTCGATAACATTAAATCTGTACTCGTAAATGTAATATTTTCTTTCCTTAATATTCACTACTAAAATTATGAGGAAGTCTTATAGGTTTATGGTTCTTTGATGGCATCACATCCATATTCGATGACCTGTAGATGGAGCCTAGCATCCCCTTCATATAAGTAACCAAAAAGAGTTTCCTGCCAATGCTTACAGATTCAAATATAAATGACCAATACTTACCTATCCACGAGCCAAGTCTCAAATAAAAACGACTAATATTTATCTATTTCCGGAGAAAATACTTATGATATTAAATAAACTCGACCAAAAGTTACCTGTTAACCAAATTCTTTTAGACTCAAATAAAAACAGTCAATATAAACCAAATAAACATTTACAGACTTATATATAAATGGCCTGTATTTACTCTTTTTCTTTTCTTTTTTTTTTTTTTTTTTTTTTTTAAGCATTTCACCCCAAGTAAGGCGGGAAGCCACTAGGACGCAAGAGGTTACAGAAAATATAGAGCGAGATCAGATAGGAGTGATAGAAGAGGGTATGAGGAGAAGGGTAGTGGATAGATCAAGGCAACTGGGGATGTCGATTGACATTACATTTGAATAGCTGGAGATTATAGCTCTCAGGGAAACTGGGATAGGGAAGGGAGTTCCACAGGCGAGAGGTGCGAGACATGAAGCTCTTAGAGTAGAAGAGACGGCTACATTTAGTAGTTTCGACAGTGAAGGGTTGAGAGCGGGATGCCAGCCTCGTAGGGCGCTTGAACTCATGAAGTCAGGGAACCAGCGAATGCAGCTCCTCGGAGCAATTACCATGAAAGTATTTGTAGAACCAAAACGAGGAAATGATTATAGACTAGAATATAAATGCCCAATATTATAGACTAAAATATGAATGATATAAAATATAAATGGTTATAGACTAAAATATAAATGACCAATGTTGCAAGTGTGCTGATGAAATGTTCTTCTTAGTGACTCGATTGCATAAATTTAAGCGTGCTACTAGATTGGCAACTAGGTTTTACTGTTTAACTGTTAAAATTGCTAGATGCAACCGCCAGTTCTATTCTGTTAGTTTCTTTTTTCGCACTGTGGAGCTCCCTTCCGATTTCTTTCTTCTCTGTCAACTACAATCTTAAAAGTTTAAATCCAACGTCAGTCGCTATTGTTTGACACCCTTGCCTTTATTATTTTATTGTCCTTTTCCTCAATTTCTTCTCTTTTGTTTCCTGTAACTCCCTGCGTCCGAGTGGCATTATCGCCTTATTTGAGGTAAAATGATCAAAGGAAAAAGATTACCTATGCCCCAACCAACTAAATGCTTCTTTTCTTTTTATGTGCCATGTCTTTTCAGGATGTAGGCGATCATGGCTCTCCACCTCCCGTTATCTCTTGCAGATCTCAACAAGTTCCTTCCCTCTGCCATCTCCCCCCAGACCATGTTCTGTCACCCACTTGTTTAAAGCCGCTAGGTGTGTCATGCGCTGTTTTCCCTTGTCTCTCTTTCCATCTATTCGACCTGTGAGTATCAGATTCTCCAGGCCCTTCTTCCTCATTATGTGTCCCAGAAACTTCAGCTGCCTCTTCCTGATGTTAAGTATAAGCCTCCTCCTTGTTTGCCTCCTCTCTAAGACTTCATCAATGCTCACACACTCGGTCCATGGTATCCTCAGCATCCTTCTGTAGAACCAGATCTCCGTCGTCTCGAATCTCTTCTTATCTTTGAGGAAATCGTCCAATATTCGCTACCGTAAAGAAAGACAGATGTCACGTAACAGTTCAGTATGTTTTTCTTTGTTACCAAAGAAATCCTCCTGTCTCGCAATACTCTGCCCAGATTTTGGAATGCGTCCTTGGACATCCCATACGTCTATAGCCAATATTTTCCTTTATCTGAATGAAATAAATGCTTATATTTTTTTTTCTTCAGAACTTTGGCGATCATGGCTCTCCACAATTTTCTTTTCTTTGTAGTTCTAAAGTAAATGTTGTCTTTTTGCTATCTATCCTAAACCCTGTTCTGTCATCCATTTACACAAAATATTTAGATTGGTTATTCACTGTTTTAATCTCTTCCCCTTGCCTTCGTTATGTCCTGTGAGTGTCAAGTTTTCCAAGCACTCTTTCCTCATTATCTGCCCTAGATATTCTAACTGTGTCTTTCTGAAGAAGTGTTTTTTTTCTAGCCATTTTCTCTAAAAACTTCGTCATTGCCTGGTTACATCTTCAGTCCATTTTATTCTCAGTATCCTTCTGTAGGACCTCATTTCTATAAAAAGATTTTGTCATTTTTGAGGAGGCTAAAACGGATATCGAGTGTTCTTTGCATCGAAGCATGAAGATCATGAGGGCTCATCAGTTTACCAAACAGATGGAACGATAATATCGATAAAGAGGGGAAATATAATGAGTAAGTATATCAATTAATACGAAAAAGACATTTGTTTCTCGACCATCTTCAAATGCTACATGAATTTCTTTCCAACTCCAACGACATGTATTTGTATCGTCAAATTGTACCGATTTTCACGATTCCCGATGATCTTGTCTTCAAACCCCGTCATTTGTGTTCACATTTGCGGAAAAGTAGAGTACTATTTTGCTATATTTACTAATGACATGCATTCTTCGTAAGTGTGCCGTGTATCTTCAGGAAGTGAACGGCCATGCTATCCCACAATTTCTTATCCTTTGACTTTTTACCATTATTCAACACCCCGTTCCCCCATCCATTAACGCAAACACATCAGTAAGGTGGCCTGCTATCTCCACCTGCCCCTTTTGCCTTAAATACGTCATATGAGTGCCATTTTCTCCATGTCCATCTTCCTCATAGTGTATTCAAGAATTTTACTTGCCTCTTTCTGATTTTGAGTGTACTTTTAGTTTCGTTTTTTTTCTGGCCTTCATTAGCAGCGATTATAGTTTCATATCTCGCACCTCTCGCCTGTGGAACTCCCTTCCCTATTCCTGTTTCCCTGAGAGCTATAATCTCCAACTATTCAAATGTAATGTCAATCGAGATCTCCAGTTGCTTTGATCTATCCACTATCTCTCTCCTCATCCTTTCATCTATCACTCCTATCTGATCTTGCTCCAAATCTTCTGCAACCCCTTGCGTCCTAGTGGCTTCCAGCCTTGCTTGGGGTGAAACGGTTTAAAAAACAAATTACGTTAATTTTATAAGCAATTGCCCTCAACGTAATTTCATAACTGTTCACAGAGTTCTGAGTCTTCCTATTATTGCATTCACGTTTCCTCGTTTCCACTTTGTCTTCTTCTTTTCATAGATGTGCTGATATATATTTTTAGATACTGACCAGTATTTAAATTTCACTGTACGTCACAAAAAACTGCTGAAACTGCCAGGTAACCATGACATATGCGAGAAGACTATTAGAATAATCCAGAACTTAAACTGGCAGTAAGCCGCCGGCATATGGATAATCCGTAAGAAAACGAATCAATCAATCTTTCTTTCTATCTTTCTTTCTATCTTTCGCAAGATATATTTTTCTCACGAAAATAAAACGGCGTTTCTTATATATCGTTTTCTTCCACCTTCCTTCACACTCAAAACGGAATAGTCCATTATTTATCTGAGGTAATGGTAAGGCCTGTAGTAATCGGTACTCACATGTCTTCTAACTTTATTTCGAACAATATATATATATATATATATATATATATATATATATATATATATATATCAAAGTATCAGAGTGTGTTGAAACAAAATGGCTATTTTTGTAGTGATTTTATAACATACTTATGTTATCATTTTTTATAAAAATAATTATATATATATATATATATATATATATATATATATATATATATATATATATATATATATATATATATATATATATATATAATATATATATATATATATATATATATAAATATATAAAGTTTCGATGTGGTTTAATGACAATTCCCTTGAGGAAAGTTAGCCTGGAATAAACAAAGGGAGATGTATTTTGTCCGCTGGTGGTATACCAATAATCTGGGAGCAAGAACAAGCAAACTACTACAGGGCGTAACGCTCCTATTAACTAATTTATTAACAGAGAAACAAGCAGAATTACTATTATTTTTATATCATATTAATGCGGCTTAAGGTCATATCACGTTGAAACACCGGCTCCCGTACGATCACCGAAGTTAAGCAACGTCGAACCATGTCAGTACCTAGTTGGGTGACAGCTAAGGAATGCCACGTGCCGTAAGCTTGGATGTGCGGGTGGTGTAATCTGTAATGTTCTACAATTGTTAATCTGAGTGATGAGTTCCATTTGCAGTTATATTGACTTACGCCAAATTACTCTTGGGAAAGTGATGGATGCACCTCTTCTCCTCCTAGCTATGGGTTAATTAGTAATGTTGCATCATTAAATCATTGCTATCTAAAAAAAAATTCTTACATTTTAAAAATATTTTCCGGTTTTAAATAATCTGTAAAAGTGTTGAAAATGAATCTACCAAAGTATGACTAAGTTAGCCGTTCATTAATTTTATATTATTTCAACATTTTAATACTATTATAAAACCTTGTTAATTTTAATTATTACATCTCGAGATAAAATCATCTTCAGACTGTCATTTTTTATTATTAAAATTAAAAATCACTGAAATTACGATTTTACCAATATTGTTTATAGACTTTTTTTACCATTTGAGAGTTACTTCGAAGGATAAGTGTACAAAATCTGTTATATCATTTTTTTTTTTAATACCATCTCTCTACAGGACGTAAGTTATCATATTTATCCATAGATTCATTGCTTTTGTTATCTGTTAATTGCCGTGACCTCTTGTGAAAGATAGTAAAGTGATTTTCCATTGCCTACTTCGTTGTTTTGAACAAAGAGCGGTCTTCCACTTAGAGTGGCTTCCACCCAATCCAAGGGAGCCCAATGTACTCTACTGTTTAATTCATAGTTGAGGAGAAAAGAAATTGATTCATGCCTTTTTCCAGGGCAGTAGTGCGAAGGGAACACAAAAGGCTCTGTTATAATGTGGACACGACTTGCCAATTGCACTTTTCACGCTCATAACCATAAAGCTACCTGCATATGTAATTATTATAAGAACAAAAACTTAAGTTTGGTTTGGTTTATTTTGTTTTATGGCATATCAGTATCAATGGGTTATTTAATGCCGATAAGATTTTTGAATAGGTTTTTATGACTAGAATATGTATTCTTTGTAAGAAATCAGTTTGTAAATTAGGTTTCATTGGCGTATTTTTAGAAAGAGGGTTTTTGTCGAGAGTCAAACGTATTGCTGTTATTTTTTTACATGTTCTTTTTCAAAAATGTATTGCTGGATTTTTTTTCCAAAATGTATAGCTGGGGCCCTAACAGGTGCTACCCCACCGGGTCAGGTTGGACAGAAATTAAGATAGAAATTAAGAGGTTGTTCCACACTCCTCTAAACCTCCCGATCAGAGGCCTTGCTGCGGGATGTAGTTCATCGTCATACCCAGAGCGAACGAAACTTAAGATCTCATCTCTCACAGTGCGACTAATCTATTGATGTTCAATAATATTGCTAGTAATATTGTCTTATCTGAAACTTTGTTTTAGTAATTTTTATTAGCGTATCGGACATCAAAAGACAAAAACATCTCATTTACCTGAGATCTGCCCTACAGTCAAACCTCGCTGAAAATACCAGTTCGCGTTCGATCATCGAAGTTAAGCAACATGACACTCTGCCAGCACATAAATGGGAACAGTTTGAGTAAATAAGAATGGAACACAGTTGTTACAAAATCATCAAAGAATTGATTCAACAAACAACATAAAATTTACTTCAAATAATAGAAGGTTCTGTGTTAATGTGACTGTTAATATTAAAGTCAAGTTTGGAATTGGCACAAAAGTATTATGCTGGGTGGTGGAGGTTATCTTATTTATTTTTTACGACTTATCAACCTTTTGTGGCTTATTTAATTCGAATTATGGGAGCTTGCTTACAGTACTTGGGGCTGATAAGCCGTAAAAAAACAATCTATGAAATTGGAATTTTAAAATTGCTTATGCCGACCTGTAGCCTTCAAAAAAGTTTGTGGAGCATAAAAGTTTCGATGTTGTAGTGAATCTTCACAGAGTGCTCTGCATTAGTGCTCTTGTGCCAGACTATGGTCAGGCAGTATCTTTAAAATCAACCGGCAAGTTTAGTTATGCATCATAAGAGTACAGTAAATTCTTAAGGGAAGTAACAGCTAATTTAGTTGATCTCAGTTACTTCCCCTGAAAAAAGAAAATTGTAGCGACAGTTATGTCCCTTGGAGGAATGTTACATCGTTTTTGTTGAAGAGAATTTTATGCTATATTTACTCGAACATTTTTTTTACATTAAGGTTCACCTTGTACAAGACCTATGGGCCACTCGAGGTAGAGAGTTCCCGAGTAGTTTATATGGATAGGAGAGGAAGATAACAGTTAACTCTAGACTTGAACAGGTTATGATTGTAGTCATCTGGGAAACATCATTTTGGGATTCTGTTCAATAGTGTAGTAGTTCAGAGGAAGAAGCTGTTTGAGTGGAAATTACTTCTCACCAATGGAATATGGAGGGAATGTGAGAGGTTCGTTACCATGTAAGTAGCATGGTGCGTCCTAGCCGTGAATGTTAGACTTGACAGAACCAATTAATGTAGTTTGTCCAAGCACTTTCCATGATAGTAGCGATAGAGAGACTCACCACATCCCACCCGTGAGAGAGAGGTTGAAAGCTGGAAAATAATTCTTCTCCAACTTGGATTAGGAGACGCTTTTGAACTATATCATAACTGGAAATTTATGCCTGGGCAACTCCTGCCCAAATATGGCAACAATACTCTATTTTCAGACTGATCTGGCTCTTATAAAGGTAGAGGATAGATGTGTGTAAAGTACAGCTCAGAGTTTATACATAACCAACAATCCTGATATTCAAAATTACTAGCCAATCAACAATAGAATATGACTGACTCATCAATAAATAGCTAAAATAATTATTTCCTTGACACAACCAGAAAGTCTATATTTCTGAGATGAGGTATTGTAATTATTTACGCTATTTACATTGTTCAAACTGTTGTCCGCATATGAGGATATATAGGTATTCTTTTATCTGCACCTTTGTTGCCTTATTCACAGCGTTTCAGCTGTTCTATGCTCCGGCCTTCTTCAGGTGATTAGAATGTTGATCTGAACCCTTTATTTATATATAAATTTAATCTATTGATAATGTAGTGATAGAAATATAAATGATAACAAGAGGAGCAAAATTTCATCATCACTAAAAATAGATGTATAATCAGAATCACTAGGTCATGAAGCCATATTCCAACCAACCAATCAGAAACTGTCATGGCCAGGATATGAACATTATAGAGCCCGGATATAAGGTCACTACAAAGCCATATATATATATATATATATATATATATATATATATATATATATATATATATATATAATATTTTTTTAAAATATGATTCCATCACTACATAAGAGTTCTCATGTTTCAAAAAAAGAAGCTAAAACTTAAACTTATTTTTTATCTAGCAATGGAATCATATTTTTAAAAAATAATTATAATTTAGGCTCTAGTTATGTATTGAGCACTGTTTTTTAAAAATAAAAACAAAAATACTAAAGAACTTTGGATTATTAACCTAATGTTTCTTTCCTATTTTTCTATATATTTGCACACACACACACACACACACACACACATATATATATATATATATATAACTTTAAAAATTAGGAGGTCAGTTGAATCTGTTACCTTGGTTTCAACCTTATAGCATCCTCAAGCAATTTTTATCAAATGACTTAACGCTTTATTTTTTTTTTTAAATGAATGAACGCTACTTTTTTAAAAATAATGATGTACCATTCATTAGTTTTTTTTTTTTTTTTTTTTTTTTAAATAAAGCATTGAGAGGTCATTTGATAAAAATCACCTTTGGATACTGTAAGGTTGAAACCAAAGTACTGGATTCAACTGACCTCCTGATTTTTAAAGTTAAAAAATCTACATGTTATTTTGACTTTTTATTTTGTTTTTTCATACATGCATTGAGCACTTTTTTTAATACTACTGTTTCCTGGTCTGATTCAACTCTAACCATTAACCTTTTTATATATATATATATATATATATATATATATATATATATATATATATATATATATATATATATATATGTGTGTGTGTGTGTGTATGTATAATTTTGATTTTGTATTTTGTATCTGTTCTGTGAAGTAAAGTTCATGTGGTTTGTTGAAGGAATTCTTTCATGGTGTTGTGCCAACTGTGCATTTTTCTTCAATTCTTATTTACTGAATCTGTTTGCAACATTTAAAAAATGGAAGGCTTAGGTAAGACTGACATAATATTGAAAAGTTTATAATTAATTCAGCAGGCATAGGAAGAGTTAAAAAAAAAAGGATAAAATAGGAGCAACATCAGGACAAAAAGCTCCAGAAAAAACCACCAAACAGTAGATCTGAAATAAGACATGAACTTTGTTAAAATAGAAAAATGATTTAAAAATTTGTAACCTTAGAAAACTAATGAAAATGTAATGTGAATGGAAATGTGAAAATTTAATATGAATGAAAATGTTAATGTTAATAAAAATGTAAATGTGAAAATTTAAATGTAAATGAAAATGCAAATGTGAATGAAAATGTGAAAATTTAATGTAAATGAAAATTTAAATGTAAATGAAAATGCAAATGTGAATCAAAATGTAAATGTGAATGAAAATGTAATGTGAATAAAAATGAAAATGTCAATGAAAATGTAAAAATGTAATGTTAATGATAATGAAAACATCTGGTTTGTTCAGAGGAATTGCAGTGACAATACCAACATTAATTAGTTTGCACATAAAAACAGGGAAAATTTTATTTGTGGAATATTTTTTGTAAATTGTCATTCACTGATGTTATCCTTTTCCCAAAATTTGTAAATTCTACAGATTTAGCAATGACAAACACAGTTTAAAACTTGGCATTTCTAAATAAAATCAAAGTGCAGATAACTCTTTAAGTCAGGAAGTTGCTTTCACAGTTCCCTTATATGGGAACCAGTCTAGAAGAATGACATCTCTAGATTCAAAATCAATGTAAGCCTATTAATTCCACCAAGTAAAACATTCTTGTTGTAAAAAGGGAAGAGGCATCACATGGCATGATGATGTTGAGGTCTTATGTCCCACAGGG